CCTACTATTATTGTATTATTGTCGATGTATTTCTTTGATTTTGTTATTAATTGGTTTATATAGTTGGCTGCTCCCACGTTAGGGGCATAGATATTTAAAATTGTTAGGTCTTCTTGTTGGACAGACCCTTTGAGTATGATAGAGTGTCCTTCCTCATCTCTTATAGTCTTTGGCTTAAAATCTCATCTGATATAAGGATTGCCACCCCAGCTTTCTTCTGATGTCCATTAGCATGGTACATTGTTTTCCATCCCCTCACTTTAAATCTGGAGGTGTCTTTGGGTCTAAAATGAGTTTCTTGTAGGCAGCATATTGATGGGTTTTGTTTTTTTATCCATTCTGATACCCTGTGTCTTTTGATTGGGGCTTTGTTAAGTTTTTATAAACTATTAAAAGTAAATGTTAACAACTAATTTTTCTGTTGAAATTGTAATATAAATACTGTTTTGATAAAATACACTATGCTTAGAAATTTCCCATGTCAAAATTAATGTTAGTTCTTTAGGACATATTTTTGTTGCTTTTAAATATTTTGTTAAATATGAGGTAGCCTTTGAAAGAGGGTATTGCATAATAGTTCTTTGAAAATTTAAAACATTTTAGAAAATTTTTTTTAATGTTTCTTGAAATAAATATTTTAATCATTTTTCTTCTTTATAAAGCTTTGGGGCTTTAATTTTCTTTTACTGTATTACATAGAAACCTTCATTAGGATGGTTAACCAAGATGGCCTAAGATCTTTTTCATTTTAGGATTCTATAATAGCATTTTTAATAGAGCTTTTGAGACCTTAAATCTAACAGCTAATACAATTTTTAATTATTATGAAATTCTCTTATAATTCTTAAATTTCTCCTTTCCTATGGAATGAATAGTCTGTATTTCCCTAACTTCATTTTAATGAATGCGTGAACGATTTAAAGGATATTTTTAACCCCCCCAGCGAGATAAACTTAACAGAAATGTAGAGGTGAAAGAATCATAGTAGCATCTAGGCCAGCATCCTTATTTTATTACCTAGGTGGAGACTGATTTGATGGGTTTGCCTTAAACTTTAAGAATTGATTAATGACTAATCTAATAGTTGTAATAGTTTAGAACCCTTTTAAACCAGCACTGTTTCTGCTGGTTCCACTGATTCCACTCTTTTAAGAAAAATACCCAAGAGAAATGAAAATGTACATCCACATAGAAACTGGTACATAGATGTTCATAGCAGCATTATTCATAATAGCCAAAAAGTGGAAACAGCCCAAAATGCCAGCAACTGATGAATGGATATACCAAATATGTTATAATCACAATGGAAATTTGGTTGGTGATAAGCAGTAATGAAGTCCTGACACATGCTATAACATGGATGAGCTTGAAAACATTGGCCTAAAGGAAGCTAGTCATAGAGTAACGTATAGCCTGTGATTCCATTTGTAAGTGGTATGTCCAGAATGGGCACATCTGTAGACCTGGAAAGGAGGGGAGGTGAGAGGGAGGGTGACAGCTGATAGATAGGGAATTTCTTGGGGTGGGGGTGATGAAAATGTGCTTCAGTTCCATTGTGATGGTGGTTTTACAACCCTGGGAAGATATTATAAAGCGTTGAATTCTACACTTTAAGTGGACAAATAGTGTGATAATGTAGATTATATCTTAAAAAGCTGTTAAGTCTGAAAGTTTTATAGCAGCAAGACTAGAACTTATGAGGGCATCATTGTTGCAGACTGAGGTTACGGCAGTTAATATTGGGTCACAGTCACTGTTGACTAAAGGTCAGTTTGTACCAAAGTGTATTTTGTAGAGCATGTCTCTTGAGATGTTATCAAATACTCCGTGGAAAAGGATTCTATGCCCAAACATATATGGGAAACGCTGGTGCAAACAGTTTAATCCGTTACTATTAGTGCAGGACTTCTCAAGAGACTTACAGATTTTAAGAAAGGAGATAAACATAGAGTGACCTAACTTATTTATTATGATATCCTTCCTCCTCAGTTAACCTCTTGTTGAATTCAGAACACAGTACTGATGTATCTCTTAAGTATCCATCTTTTAAAGTTATTAGCAAGGAAAATATATCCATTGAGTATTTACAGTACTTTTTAAAAATTTGTTGTTAAATTTATCTTCATGGCAGCTTTTTCAGGTAGGTACTGTTATCCCTCCCTCTGCCTCCTGTTTGCAAATGAGGAAACAGAAGCTTGTGGAAGTTAAATAACATTCTGTAGTTAGAAAATGACAGAATCAAGACTCTTAACTACTCTAATCTCTTACTAGTTCTGTTTTCCCACATTTAATTGGTTAAGTACACTAATTTAAAATGCATGGATGTATACTTTAGAAACATTTCCACTCCAGATGGTTAAAGCCAACAGAAAATTTCTAGTACTTAAAAACCTAAATTTGGTTTCTGTTCTTCATATGTATTTATGTGTAACCTCTCTGACCTCATTTATGCCTGATCAGATTTATACAAGATGAATTTTTCTCTTCTCTTCTCTTTTCAGCCATTACATTGTAAGCTTAAAGTTGTGCTCACCTTTCTAATGATTTACACTAAATAATTTCCCACTCGTCATACTTAGTTTACTTGAGTTATCTTTATGAATTTCTAGGTAGTGTACAGAACTGTAAATAAAATAATCAAACATCCTTCAGATGCTGTCCACAAGATTTGACTTTTTAGATTTGAAAGTTAGATTCTAGGTCATTTTAGATAATCCTGTGAATAGCATAGGGTGTAACTCATGAGGCCTACAAAGTCTTTTTATGGCCATAGTTGTATCTTGACATGAAAAAAATGTTAGTGTTTAATTAAAAATGGGTTTCATAAATGGTTTTTTCATTTGGTATTTCTTTCTCTGGTATTTATTGTGCTAATTTTCCCTTTATTTCAAACAGGTTAAATATTAGTGTCATGAATGTTGAAATTAAAGGACTTTATGGATATGTTTTTATTATATATTCTTATCCTACCCTCTTTGTAACAGTATATTCTAATTTTAGTACTTTCTAATGAAACAAATTTACTTTTTTTTTTTACAATAGTTATCCTTAAGTTAATTGACATTGGTCTCTTTATGGCTTTCCATAAGGCCTTTCTGGAGCAATGCATTCTCAAGTGTTCCCTCACGCTCATTTTGGTAGGTGGCCACAACTGATACCTGGATTTGTGTGGCAATCTGTCTACCTGCTTGTGGAAGCTTCTGCTAGTGTTCTGGATCCCTGCATGTGGAATTAAGTTTTTTCCATGTTTTACAATGGAGTGGGCATGGATGTGTGGCATTGGGGTTACATTATATTTAAAGTTACATAAAAATTGTGGTGATTTGTGTTTTAATGCTGAAAAGCATTATCGCTTACCTCCATGGTCACATTAGAATGTTAATAGCTTTTTTGATTATTTTTCTTGAGTTTGAATTCATAGCACTTTTGACACATTTTTTATACACCAAAACCATTTACCACATTATTCCATGGGGTTTGGTTTTGCTTAACTGTATACAAGTTTCGCTTTTTAGTGCTTTCTTAAAAAGTGATTTGTCAAAGTTTTGTCAATGCATTGTTGTCTGTTATGAAACCCTTCTGTTTCCTTTGCAGTGTGCTTATTATTCTTTAATTCACTTGCTTTCTAGTGGCTTGTTTCTCCTGTTTTCTCATCAATTATAATTTCAAAAAAATTAGACATTCTGATTAGGTTCATTGAGAAAAATTGCATAGTTATAAACAATAGGATTATGAGGATTTCTTTGGGGAGTATCTATAACATGACTTCCAAGGTTTTTTTAAAATAAAATATAATCTGTGTAACATGTTCAGTATTAATTCCTGTGCCTTAAATCAGAGATCAAGTTGGTAAATTTAAAAAAAAATTTAAATCAAATTCAGTGAATTATCATGTTTTTGATAGCATCATGCCAATAATATTGCACTATTTTAATTGTTAGTATTCTGTGTTAAAAGTACCACTATTGGCTCTTACTTTACCAAGACTTTTTCTGGAACATACATTCAGAAGGTGCTGTTTTTAATCTTCACTAGCAGTAAGTAATATATTGTTTTGCTACTACATGCGTTCCTTTTCAATTTTTTTTTGAGAGAGAGAGGCAGGGGAGTGGTAGACAATCTTGGGCCCTGTGTAGAGCTGAAAGCCCAATATGGGGCTCAGTCTCTTAACCCTGAGATCATGACCTGAGCCAAAATCAGGAGTCAGACACCTAACCTACTGAGCCACCCATGTGCCCCTACTTCATGTGTTTCTGTAATGCAAATTAGGTTATAAGTAATTCATAAGTGGGCGAGTGATGGCAGCGTACCACATGTGTAGTGATTGTTAATACACCGATTTCAGTGCAGTCTAGATTACTACACTCATTCACCCTATATCCATCTTTTCTAAGAATGCTTATTTCACTCCCTTTTCAATCTGTATGCATTTTATGCAGTCTTTATGCATCTCTACAACTTAGCAGTCCTAACTTTAAACCCTTTATCCAAAGCAGTCTACTTATCTTTCAAATAAGATATGGTGGTCCATATATTTCTTTTGGAATTGATGTATTAAGAACCTCACATGTTCTTTTAATTGTGTTAGTGGTTTTATTAGGGAAAGCCATTCCCCTCCAGCCCTTTTGGGCTCTGTTTACAAAGCTGTATAGTTTTTGAGAGGCCTCCTTCTAACTCTGTTTCTCCTATAAGTCTTGTTATTTTCAGTGAACTATTTTTTAGAAGTTTTAAAGTTGTTTTTATCAGGAACATACTTACTATGTTATAACAGACAATTCAGTGGATAAAATTCAATTTTTGGCGATTTTACTGTATGTAGCAAAATAAAACTAAAAAACCAATGTATATTAGTACACATGTGACTTGCATGATGGGCTTTAAAAAAGTTGACTGCTGTTTAGACTTTTAATTACTTTGAGAAATTTTCTTACGATTTCAAATGATAGCTTTATTAGTGTCATTCTGGTCATGGGTTTCAGGAGAACAACATTTTATAGATTGTGTTAAACTGTATAGTGCTAAAACTTATTACTAATTTTGTCAGCGTTTTGGAATTTAAGGTGCCTTTAGTGTACAAGTTAATGTTTTTCAAGTGAAATCATTCTGTAGTGTGTGGTATGAAGAGCAAAACCTGCTCTTTTGTGTATTAGTTATCAGCCCTTGCTTTCTCCTGTCAGCTGCAACCTTTGGCACGGCCTCCATGAGCATGCCCGCGGGCTTCGGAACTCCTGCTCCCTATAGTCTTCCCACCAGCTTCAGCGGCAGCTTCCAGCAGCCTGCCTTCCCAGCCCAAGCAGCTTTTCCTCAACAGACAGCTTTTTCTCAACAGCCCAATGGTAAGATCTTTCACTTGGCTAGCTATAAGTCCACTTCGTTGGTTTGGGCCTTAGAGAACTGAATGATTTGGTAAGTTTTTGTGACCAGGTTATAGATTTAGGAGAAATCAGAGACTATGTAAAGAGTACCCCTTCTTAGAATCTCCAGTGTCTTTTCTTTTATCTTTTTTCTTTTTTTTTAAAGATTTATTTTAGAGAAAGAGAGAGAGACAGAGCCTGTGTGTGAATTGGGGGAGGGACAGAGGGAGAGAATCTTCAAGTGGACTCTCCTTTAAGAGTGGAGCTGGAGAAGGTGCTCGGTTTCAGACCCGTGAGATCACAACCAGAGCCGAAACCAAGAGCCAGATACTTAACTGGCTGAGCAACCCAGGCGCTCCCTCCCCACTGCCCCAGTCTCTTTCTTTCTTTCTTTCTTTTTTTTTTTTTTTAAAGATTTTATTTATTTATTTGACAGAGATCACAAGTAGGCAGAGAGGCAGGCAGAGAGAGAGAGAGAAGATGAAGCAGGCTCCCTGCAGAGCAGACAGCCCGATGCGGGGCTTGATCCTAGAACCCTGGGATCATGACCTAGGCCGAAGACAGAGGCTTTAACCCACTGAGCCACCGAGGCGCCCCGCCCCACTCTCTTTCTTATTAATTTCTCTTGTTTGTTCTAATATGTCTGTTGATTTTAAAAGAAAACTTTGTAGGGCACCTAGGTGGCTCTGTGGGTTAAAGCCTTTGCCTTTGGCTCAGGTCATGATCCCAGGGTCCTGGGATCAAGCCCAGCATTGGGCTCTCTGCTCAGCAGGGAGCCTGCTTCCTCCTTTCTCTCTGCCTGCCTCTCGGCCTGCTTGTAATCTCTGTCTGTCAAAGAAATAAATAAAATGTTTAAAAAAAAAAAGAGAAAACTTCGTAGACCTTGAGTGTTTTTGTTTTGCATCAGAAAACTTGTGGATCTGCTCTTTTGTATAATCTATGTATGTGGGAGACATAGACTTAATTTTCCAAGTGGGTAACTGTATTGTGGTTAGAGTTTACTTGTTCTAGAAGCCAGGGATTTTTTTTTTAATCTATGAAGCTTATTTGCTGAAGTTTGAAAGTCCATAGATTTGAAGATTATTCTTAAATTCAAATTGCCTATCTATACTTAGTGTCTCTGGTTAGATAAAAATTTGGAAATAAGGTCCATGGCAGAACCATAATGATAAAATATTTCCTAACAAATACTGTGCTGTTCACATGAATCCATTGTGTTTTGCTCACATCTAGTCTCAGATAGTCACAGGTCATCTATTAATTCTGTTCTTCACATGTCAGCAGCTTACATAGCTGAGACACATGAGAAGAAACCGTTTCTGAGAAGCTGTATGGACTGTTACCTGTGCCACAGGACGTTTGTCTCTGGTATTTGAAAGACTCAACAGTTAAACATTGATATTTTATTATTGTTGCTCTAGTAGGAATTTCTCTGAAACTTCTTATGAGTCTTTATGAGCATCAGATTGTCTCTGAAAGGTATGGGTTTTAATTGGTGGTTCTATTTTAACAAGGTGCAGGTTTTGCAGCATTTGGACAAACAAAGCCAGTGGTAACCCCTTTTGGTCAAGTTGCAGCTGCTGGAGTATCTAGTAATCCTTTTATGGTAAGTGAGATGCAATTTTAAGCACTTTATAATTTGTGTGTTATCTCTAAATTAGGAAAAGCAAGATGTGACTATTCTACTGATGTGACAGTAAAAGAATTTGCAGATTGATGCAGCTATCATGCATGATCCTTTTTTGACTTAAAAAAGACACACACACCCACATTACTCAGTTGCAAATCAAAGCACTGACATAAATAAGCTATTTTATAGCATGAAACTTATCTATTTTCTTGTCTAAGTAATGCTTTATGAAAAGCTGTAGATTTAGTGAACTGTGTGAAAAGGGCTTGGACTCAGATTTGGTTTGAATCATAAATGTGTTTTCTTAAGGGCCAAGTCCTTTCTTAGATTCTGTTAGAAGAATTATGTGGAATAATGGATATTAAAGGCCATAACAGAGCTTCTGACACCTAATAGTTTTATTATATCATGTTGCTAATAACAGTAATGAATAAATATGATTGCCAATAACTATAAAATAATTTCTAATCTAAATATTGTCTCATTTAATTAATCAAAGTTAAATCTTTTCATAGTTTCACACGTATACCACCCTTACTTGTGTCTTTATTTTGTCTTACGTTTTCCTTTAGACTGGTGCACCAACAGGACAATTTCCAACAGGAAGCTCATCAACCAATCCTTTCTTATAGCCTTATATAGACACTTTACTGGAACGAACTTTTACGTGGTCACATTACATCTCTCCGCCTCTTGCACTGTTGTCTTGTTTCACTGATCTTAGCTTTAAACACAGGAGAAGTCTTTAAAAAGCCTGCATTGTGTATTAAACACCAGGTAATATGTGCAAAACAGAGGGCTCCAGTAACAACTTTTAACCTGTGAATTGGCAGGAAAAGGTAGCGGTATCATGTATATTAAAAATTGGCTAATATTAAGTTATTGCAGATACCACATTCATTATGCTGCAGTACTGTACATATTTTTCTTAGAAATTAGCTATTTGTGCATATCAGTATTTGTAACTTTAACACATTGTTATGTGAGAAATGTTACTGGGGAAATAGATCGGCCACTTTTAAGGTGCTGTCATATATCTTGGAATGAATGACCTAAAATCATTTTAACCATTGCTACTGGAAAGTTACAAAGTCAAAATTGGAAGGTTTTATTCATTCTTGAATTTTTCCTTTCTAAAGAGCTCTTCTATTTATACATACCTAAATTCTTTAAAAATGTAGAGGGATACCTGTCTGCATAATAAAGCTGATCATGTTTTGCTACAGTTTGCAGGTGAAAAAAATAAATATTAGAAAATATGCTATTGTTTTTGTGTTCTTGCTGCAATGCCTTTACCAAAGTGGCCTTAAAATATGAGTAGTGAATTGAGAACATCTTGCATTCTTAAATTAGAATTTCAGAAGACTTCTAGTGACTAACTTTTATGTCTAAAAGATAAAATTTTATAAAAAAGGCCATGTAGAAAATTTATTAAAACTACTATGACTGCTATATTCAGGAATATGTCAGTGGTAAAGCATTTAAATGTAGCTTGTCAGATTCACCGTAATCCTTCTAATTTCTTTGCAACTTCTTAATTTTGTGAAAATTTGTATATATGAAGAATTTGCATGTATGTGTATTTACAAATTTTTTTAAGTATCTTGAATTCTCAGACTGCAGAAGTCCTATTTTAACTATTGATTTTTAAACAAAAATACTGTCTTTGAATGTATTGGAAGCAGACATGCATTAACTGTGACATGATTGCACCTCAGTTTTTTTTTTTTCTTCCTTTGTTTGGACAAACTGATATTATTAAAATAGGACATTTATTTATGTTCATTTCTGGGGGGAAAACAAACTGGAACCCAGTGTTACCTTAAAGTTATAGAATACTTTGTTTAAAAAGGCAACGATACTAATGTTTAGTTATATCTTTTTGTTAATAGATGAACTTGTTTAAATATTTATGTACAGTAATGCCTCATTCATTAAGACGTAATCTAGCAGTCTTCATCAATACAGAACACAACTGAGAAACTTGGAATAATTCTTTTTAAATGCTTTTGAGCAACACACATAAGTCACAAAGTCTCTATATGTTTGTTTTTATGTGAAATTTTGATTATTTGATTTCCCAGCCCTAGTGTATTATTAGCAGTTCAGAAATGACAGTTTGGAAGGAGATAGACAAACCATGAAAACCTGTCGACCATTTAGTTTAAGGACAGCCAGGACAGCCTAGAGGACATCACTGTATGACATCATATTCTGATAATAGTCTGGTACTTTGACTCTTTGTCATCAAGAAAAGGTAAAGTTACATATACAAATATGTAATACGTGTTTGGAAAGTTTTATCTTACCATGTTTAAACATTTTTTTTTTAAAGCTTTGGTATTAAAAGAAGTGAACATCAGTTTCTTCAAACATTTTATTTGTGTTGAATACCTTTTCCAGTGGTGACTACATGAGCTGTTACACAATCTTGAAGTCTGTGTAGTGTTTCAGACTTGGTAAAGCATTGCTGTCCATTGCATCTCTAGCTCAGTGTATAGTTTGTCTGAACTATTTTGATGAGCAAGAAGACGGAAATCTCTGCCCCATTTTGAATGTTATGCCTCTTCTCTTAATATTGAAAATGCTGCAGAGGTCTTAGCTGTGTGTGGGTATAACTTGAAATACCTACAGTGTGGGGGTTTCTCTCCAGCCCTTTTTTCATGGAGGGACTACTTAAGAAATGTCTTTGAATTTCTATGTTTTAGATTGTATTGGGTCTCAATCACTTCATATGTACAAAGTTATGCTATATGATTGTAGGCCATTACCTAAATAACCTCCCAGGCTTTCCATCTAAGAAATAAGTGAATTAAACAGTTGTTATTAAAATGATTTTAAAGACTTTTTTTTTCTGGTACTATCTTGAAGTTTTTAAGTAAATGAGAACTTTTATTGACTTTAAATGAGTGCTGATAAAATAGAAATCCTTAGTTTAAAAAGTGATCCAGCTTTAATGTGGATTTAAATCAATTCTTTTAGACTTTCATATTCAGATTTGTTTTTGGTTTTATATAAACCCATCAGAGTTGTGTTGAGTATTGAAGAAAGAGGAGGACAAGGCTGAAAACCTTCAAATTTTCCTGGTTTAATAGTAGAATCAGATCTTCTCTCCTGTCTTTGCTCTGGAAGGAAAATTTTCTTTTAGGGTGGCAAACATTGTTGGTATATTGAAAGGCATATTTTTTGTGACAATAGAGATTAGGCAATCACTTTCTTCCTTCAAGTAATTCCTTTTGTAAATTTGAAGATGCCTGTCTGTGCTTTACCTGTGCATTGCCCTAGCCCCCAGCACACACCGTGTTTGGAACAGTTCCTGAAAGTTGGGAAAATGAAGAGAAGACTAACTGATTGCTTTTGTGTGGCAGCACTCACTCTCTTTCAGATTACTGAAGATGCCCAGAGAGCTTTTGTTTATGTAGTTTGTATCTACCAGAAATTACTGTATTAGAAATTAATAACTGAGATACTTAAAAAACCGTGTCCATTCATTTAAACATAACAATAATAAACCCATTGCATGTTAACATAAATTCCATTTTTAAACATTTTTTAAAAATTTTATTTATTTATTTGACAGACAGAGATCACAAGTAGGCAGAGAGGCAGGCAGAGAGAGGAAGGGAAGCAGGCTCCCTGCTGAGCAGAGAGCCCAACGCAGGGCTCCATCCCAGGACCCTGGGACCATGACCTGAGCTAAAGGCAGAGGCTTTAACCCACTGAGCCACCCAAGCACCCCCATAGATGCCATTTTTAAATAAAAACTATAGTTGTCTTCCAAAAGCAGTTAATTAATGAGAAGAACATTATTTTATGTTTTGCACATCTCTGTAGCACCTGGTTTGAGAAGCAGCGAGTTTCTTATGGTCCCTTGGCATCACAGTGATTTTTTCCGTCATATGGCACGTGGGCCCTGGGAAACTCCACCATGAACTTGTGAACTCATGAGACAGATCTGTAACATCTTAGTAGTAGTATGAAAATAGTTGTGACACTTGGCTTTTGAGGACTTTCAGAGGTCCTCCTCAGACCACACTTTGAAAGCCATTGTGCTACACTTTAAATTTCTATTTTCCAGAATAACAGTGTGTGGTTGTAGGCTATGTTAAAAAAAAACTATGTAGTATGTTTATACTGCTCCTTGAACTTGCCAGTGGTTTTCTTTGCTTGGTGGGAAAAGTGGAAAGTTGAGTTGAAACTGCAAATATTTTTAATACTGTTTTCTAGACTTTCTCCTATTTTTATTTAAAATTGTTTTAATGATGATGACATTGGTGAATATGTCCTTCAAGGATATTACAATTTCTGACTCATGTTATTGATGTTTATTTTGGAGTCATTACTATTCCGACCACTTTGAAATTGTGTCATTGTTTAATAGCTATCAAATAGCTATTTTTAAAATGAAAAAATGCTTTGTATTTTTTGAAAAGTTCAAAGTGAATAGTTTATCTCTCATGTTTACAGCTAATAATTTTAGCTATAATTAAAGAATTTTTTTAATGAAAAGTGGATTCCTGTAACAGAAATCATTACCCTCCAGGAAGTCTGCTATTACAATTAAAGGAATGTGTTTGCTGCTTTTTTAGAAAGAGGTTTGCTATGGTTTTTCTACCAGTGGCTTTTTATACCTTGTTCATCTATAAAGAGAGCAGTTGCTGTTGCTTCTCATTTAAACAAAATGTTTCAGAATTCTTTTGAAGTGACTTTAAGAGATAGTTCACAATAATTAGTTACCACAGACTCTGGCTTTGTTGCTGCCGTTGTTGGCATATTGTAAAATACGCTTTTCTGAGCTAATACTCCGTTTCCATCCCCAGGCCATCCTTGTGCTTTGCTTCTTGGGCCTTCTTCGTTCATGTGTTTGTTCTCCTTCACTGAGTTTGTGTTAGAATGACTCACCTCATCTTTGGTCTCCACCAACAGTGTCAGACTTGTCTCAGAAAATCTCTAAGAGACCATTGTGAAGATACGTTTTTTTAAAAAAAGTAATGACTTCAAAGTAATGTGGTGGTATTATGGGGTGTGGGTTTATTAAGCCCTTTAAATGTATGAGAAACTTGCTAAGTGCTTTTCATGTATTATATAATCCTTAAAGTGGATGCATACTTTAAGGATGAGAGAAGGCAAGGCACAGAGAAGTTAAGCTAGTGACAGAGCTTTTGCTCTAGGGAGCAAGTATTTCATTGTTGGATTAAAGGGCTATCACATTTATGTGTGAGTAGCCCTTTAAAAAGTCTTTGAAAATTCTAATTTCTGTATCCTGTGTACCTAATAAAACTTAGTTATTTGAGTTCCATTCATAATTGATGAAATCAGTACAGTTTATTCACTAGGTTTTTATTTAAACTTTTCAAGTTAATGGGTAATTAGTGGAGCTTATTTTACTAAAGAAATATCTGAAGTATTACAATGATTCCTATTTTTGAGAAACATTCCATCTTTTATTGATATGTTTGTGTTCTAGGTGATTTTAAAATTTACTTTCTAAAGGATGCTGTTATTAAAATTTGTGTTAAGTTAGCCTGTTATATGAAATTCATCCTCATTAGCTAAATTTTTCCTTGTATATTTTAGAACACTGTAATGTCATTAATTAAAAGCTTGCATTGTATATTTGAACAAGTGAGTATAATGACCAAGATGTAGTTCTTAGTGTTATGCTGATGAGACTTTTTCTCTCATGAAAAAGTGCCCTGTTTTGTACTGTTTACTGATATTTGTGGTGTATATACTCTCACAATGGCTGATGTCACCTATCAATCTGATGTCATTAAATTTGGAATTAGAGATGTGCACCAGGCTCCCAAGCCTGTGCAGGCCAACTGCAGCACAACACTCCCAGTTCCATGGCTCGTTCATTAAATTTATTGGTGATGGTATCCAATATTTGAAGAGCCTTTTGTTTTATATTGTTAATTCAGCAAGCATTTGGACACTAATTCGCTTTTATAAGTGGATGGAATATGGAGATATTAATCTGGAAAGACTCAAGTATTGTGAACCCAGGTGTTAAAAAGTCCAGTTATTGTGCTAATGGTAAGGCTTGTACAGTCATGACATGTACTCTGAATTCTGTCTTCAGTTTTTTGTTTGACCAGCACAGTGTTTCACAAACTTGGATTTTGCGTAGTTTTAAAGCAAGCATGCTTAAGACGGCCACTGGCCTCCTACTCCTAATTTTCTTAGCCTCAAACATTGAAATATATTTTAAGACCTTGAAGTTGGCAAATCCCATGTCTAGGTAAGGGAGTTCTTATGCAGCCTTCTTGTTCTGATTTTGGAGTCCTGAAGGATTTGAATTTATGATATTATTTTCCAGTGAAGACTTTTGCTAAGAGTGTGTTTCTTTTCAAACTTGTGACATCTATGTATTCTGCTTTTGTTGTGGTCCTGCATAAGAATTCAACATGTATTTAAATGTATTTTTGAAATCTGTGCTTGTCCAACTTAGAGGGCTGTGGAGTTTAATGAAAAGAGAAATGTTATGACTCAGCCTCTTGTAAAAATGAAAAGTGATCTTGGATAAAATATTTAAATTAGTGATTAAAATTCTCATTTAAGTTTATTTTGTCATTGGCTCTCTGGAATCTTGACTAGGTGTCATCCAAGCCACAGTTTAATCATTGCGAGTTAAGATTTAAACTCTAAATTCTCAATGTTTTCCCTTAATCTTGAGTGGAGAGAGAGAGGAAGCATGCACCCAAGTAGCCTTCTAATTTTGACTAAATGACCATTAAATAAAAGGCAGCAAAGGATTGTAAACTGACGTTATACAGTCAATGTTTCCTAGAATGCTGTAGGTACAATCAGGTTTTTTAAAGACTCTTAACTTTTTTTATATGTTATAAAATAATACATGCTTACGATTTTTTTTAAATTATGTGATACATAAAGGGTATAAAGTGAAAAATTAAATCTTGTCTCCTTCCTGTGACTTCATTCCCACACCCCAGGGGAATATAGTTTCTTGTATTCTTGTATAGTCTTTCAGAAATGTTATCGTTTATTTCGTATGTCTCTGTATCCATATATACTCCTCTTCCTGTCATCCCTTATTTTAAATGTACAGTTTTGTAACTTGGTTCTTTTTATTTAATTGGTTATCTTTATAAAATATTAGCACATCCAGCTCTAACTCATTATTTTAATGGCTACAGGATTTCATTATATGGTGTCCCTTTTGAAGAGTATTTGTATAGATTTTTCTACTAAAACCATTATTAAAATTGAGAACATCCTTACACATATATGAAGATAAGTCTTGACCCTTCTGACTGGAAACTCAATCAGACAGACCTCTCAATTTTGAGGCTCACCAGCTGTTTATTTTCTTACGCTTCCATTTAGGAAATTCTTCCA